TCTTTTTCTATTACTATAACTTGTACTTTTTTTAATCTTTTTAGTTGCTTTAAAGAATTAAAAAAATTTATTAATTTTTTATTTTTTTTTGTTCTTGTACAGATTTTTTTTAATGCAAAATTAACAGTTAATTGTAAGATATATGCAGTACAAGAAAGTCAAGTAACAAAGTCCCACATTCAAATAGCTTTAATTATATTTGCACTATTATCAGTAACAGCACAAATAACCTTATCTTCAAGACCAAACTTACAATATTTTTTTAAAAAAAATTGATGAATAGATTCTAATATATGTGAATATGATATTTTTTGCAATATATTAATACACTATGCAATAGCCAATTAGGATCTATCTAGTAACAAGTAATACTGATATAACCTTTATTTTTACACGATGTTTATAAATTAGTAGTAATTATAGCTATTTTACAAGTTGATGCTATTTCAAGCTAAAGAATTTCAATATTTTTATAATAACTAAGTGCAATTTCATTCTTTATTATTCTTTTTGAAAATAGCTGAAATCTTGGGCCAACTTTCACTATCATGTGACAAAACTCTATTTTTCTTGATGCTAATAATAGTTTGTTATCAAGAATTATCTATCCAACAATTGCTTTATTTAATTTTTCAAGCTTTTTATCTTTATATAGAATATCTTTTTTAACTAATTTAGTTATTGTAGTCTGTCATACTCATTCAATTTTGAATTTTAATTTTTTACTATCAACAATATTATGCGAGCATAAATGTAAAATCATATTTGAAGTTAAGTTGTTATGAATATAATCTTTTTCACATTTTTTCTCTTTTCATTTTACTTTAATTAATTATAACTTCAGTCAGAGAATATACTAAATTAGGAAATCAGATTCTAGAATGATTTACACATTAATTCTTGAATTTGATTGGCTCTTGCATACTTTTTTGTCAGCATTTTTTTATACTTCTAATTCATTATTAGAAATTCAAAAATAAACACACAAGTAGACAATATAAGATCTCTAGTTTAAATAATTCACAATAATCTATGCAAGTTAATACTTGTTAAAAAAGTAGGTGAAACCTAAAATTCAAGAAACTTTTATATACAAGCTAAAAAGTAAAATAACCTTGCTTACAAATTATATGCTTTTATACAAAGCAAAGCTATAAAAAAATAGATGATTCAAATAATATAAATAATTTATTTATGCTTCATGGAAAACATCATTAGAAGTAACTTTATTACAATTATTCCCATACTCTTACATAACACCAACACACAGGAGTATCTGTTATCAAGAATTGGCAATACATACAATACATATATAACGTTAATTGAACTATAACTCTAGTCAGACAGTCATAGCACTGCCTCATCTGCAAAATGATACTTTGTTGAGTATAAAAAGCCCCACATTGTATTAACACATAATGCAGAATTTATGATAGCAGGAAGAAATACTTGAAATAGGAAGACTGAGTAGTCTAACCAATTTGAAAATAACTTTAATAGTTAGGAGACCTCTTACAGAATACCAAAAGAGAGAGTTGCATGTAATAAGTATGAGAGATGTAGTGAATATAGAAGGAAATAATGTGTACAAATTAGGATATAGTAGTCAAATTCAGGTAGTATATAAGTAGAATATAGAATACTCTAGTAGGTTTAGGTTGCAGATAGTAGTTAAGACCTGTCTGAGCTATATATACTTGTAAAAAAAATTAATATACATGAATCACATAATATATATGTATATATAATTATAATAAAGTTATAAAGGCATGACTTTATCTTAAAAAAAAAAAATATAAAAAATAATAATAATATACTTATGCCTAATAATAATATTATTTTATTTTTTTATTATTATAGATTAATATCTTTAAAACAAAAAAATAAATCATAAGGGTGTGGTTATCCTAGTAATAATGAATATTCTTTTTTGAAAAGTCATATACTACTAGTGGTATAATAAAGTACTATCTAAATTTTAAAAATAAGATAGAATTTTATACTAAATATAGAATTAACTTAGGTAATCAACATTTATAATTAAATTATATTTTTTAAACCAAATAGAGAAAATTTAATAATTATAAAATATTTTAAAGAATTGCGTACTATCTATGTAGCAATTACAAAAGCATTCTATATCCTTAGATTACAAAGTGGGTTAGTAAAAGTGAACTTCGGCAATGAAAAATTTAAATATTCTGGTTGATAGCAATAACTAACAAAAATATTACTTAGGTAATCAACGTTTAGAATTAAGTTATATAGAGTTTTTGCCTTGAAAATTATCTTATAGTACATAGAGGTGAGTCAGTAGAAACACACTATATTTTTTCTAAGTAAATTTTTTTGAAACCTTAAACAAGAATAGTTCAACAACAACTTAATTAAATTTAATAAAAATTTTTTTAAACCAATTCAAAAAACTTATAAAATTTATTTAAAAAAATTTTTACTAAATTTGGTTAAGCTTTTGCTAATTTATTTTTGTTTGAAGATTCAAAAAAATTTTATTAAAAAAAACATGGTGTGTTTCTACTGACTCACCTTTTTAAACAAATAGACAAAAATTAAATAAATTTTTTTTTATATACCAACATTCGCTTAGTTATATTAATTTGATTTTATTGGGTTTTTTTATTTAATAGTATTAAGTTCACTTGAAATTGCTAATATTTACAAAACTGACCATGCCTATTATGAAGCAGCAGCATAAGAATGAATACACAAGTATGCTAGTAAATAGATAATTTAAATAAAATTTTTTTTGTACATGTTTGCTAGTTCTTGCTATTTTATCTCTATAGTTTTTTCTTATGATTTAATTTGAATTTCTATTTAAACCATATTAGTGTAATATAGTATCAAATCCAATGAGTACTATAGATATTTTGTTAATTAAATAAAAAGACTACAACAATCTTTAAATTTTGTTGATTACATTATTGTATTCAACTGCACTTTTTGAACATTTTAATACTTTGACTTATTAATTTTAAAAGTTTTTATTATTAAAAAATATTTCAAATATATTTGTTCTTTAACAAAAACAAATAATAATAACTAATCTTGATATAACATGTTTGGTTACTGGCACAAAGGCAAAGAACTATTGTTTTAGTATATTGATAAAAACCTCTATAATAATACAATATATCTTTTATTATAAAATAGCTCCAATTTTGTTTTATTTTCTTATTTTACTAAAAACATTAATACTCTTAACCAAAAAAAAACTAATTCTTGTACTGAAATTATACAAATATATTCATAGCACAGATATAAAAGAGCAACTATAATCAAGAGTTCATAGCTATTTTGCATCAACCCAGAATAACTTATACATATATGTTAGTAGTGCTTTGAATTTTATTATCCTAGTAATATAAATAAATAGTTAAAGAATTAAGTATATGCAAATTGGGATACTATATGTTCTAACTGAAAAGAATATTCTTTATAATAATTTTTATAGCAAACTACAGATACATCAACTAGTACTTGGCAACATAGTGTAAAGTATCATTACTAAAAGTACTATTAGTATTATTAACAAAAAAAACTCTTAATTCTTCTTGATAACAAATAATTACTTGAGCTTAATTGGCATATAAATAGTATTTATACAATCTATATTTATCTAAAAAGAAAACAAAATAATGTAAATAAAAATATTTCAGAAAATTTTAACTTTTAAAATGTACTTATATAACGTTCCTGGTTAGCATGACTTGTTGCACAGCTACTCTAATATTGTATAAAATTAATGTATTAGTTTGAGATTTGGGTGTGAACAAACCAAACAATAATAGTTCTGAATTCTTTTAATGTTTCTTGAAGTTCATAATCTCAACTAAGTATATAGTTTTTTGCTTAAAAAAAATAAAGAGCTATTTTTGAGGCATGATCTTTCTTGGCAATTTACAAATTTTGCAATTTTATTGGCTAATCGCACAGACTGATGATCACATGTAGAATAGCCAGAAAGAATCTAGAATAGTCTGATCAACATTTTGTTATCATAAAAGGAGCAATCTACATTATCCTAATTTAGTATATTTCCTGACTAAAGTTGGTATATATTTTTTAGTTTTCTTTTATTTAAACTACTTTTATACAAAACTTTTTCTATTAATTTTTCTTCTTTTACTCTTTTTTTTAATACTAGTTAATACAGTTGCCAATGCAGCTGTTGATGTAGTTGATGTAGTTGCCAAAGAGAATATACTTTTACTATAATTTTTACTACTATTTTCATTAGTGCAAATAGTTTGTTAAACACTTGAACTATATTCTTCTTAAGAATCCATTCACTATTAATTTCAAGTTTGGAACGAGATAACAGACTATAAGAAATAGGAATAAATAATGGAAAAGAAATATAAATCAGATAAGAAATTAAAATTTTATTATTTTTTTTTAATTTTAAATTGTTTACTATTTTATTTATTTATTAGACCAAAGTCTGAGAGAAAATTTTATTAAGCAAATCAAATGTTTAAATACATTCAAAAATTTACAAATGGTTAGATAAGTTTTTTTTTATATATTCATTATAAATTAAACTAACTATTGAGAACTAAATAAAATAGCTTTTACATAGTTGTTATAGATAAACTACTAGAAAAATAGATTCACAAGTCACTGAAGAAATGAATAGATTTCCTTTTTCATAGTATTAAAAAACTTTATTTTCAATTACAAAGATAAATATCAACACAGAACTTTCAAGATCATTAAAAAAATATCCTTTTTAATCAATTCATTTAAGTATAAACAATTCTTTGTATTTTTTATTCTTCACTGTATTGAAGCAAAAAATAAGTTAATTAAATAGATATCTTATCAATTTCCAGTATGAATTATACCAGGTTGGTAAAAAGTAACCTTTTTTTAATCACTATGATTATCATTTTAATATTTAATAATTATTGCAATAATGAAAAATTGTAATAATTTTTAATTTATTAACAATAATTACTAAATGTTAAATGATAATCATGGTATAAACAATTCTTTGTATTTTTTATTCTATTGCTATATTAAAGCAAAAAATAAGTTGATCAAATAAATATCTTTCAATTTCTAGTACAAATTATACTGGGTTGGTGAAAAGTAACTAAACAGTAATTTTTTTTTAATCACTATGATTATTATTTTAATGTTTGCAATATAATAAATTTTAATTTATTGACAATAATTACTAAATGTTAAAAATGATAATTATAGTAATTAAAAAAAAACTACTAATTAGTTACTTTTTACCAACCTGGCATATACTATTATTAGAAATAATCTATTGTGTTTTAAAAAAGAAATAATATAAATAATCATTATATTTTAAGTTTAAATCATGTATCAAAAAACTAACTAAATATAAAATAAAATTTAACTACACTATTTTAATTCAGAATAATATATTAGTGTTTTTTTTTTGTTACTTATTTATAAAAAGTTACTTAATAGTTGATTAAATTTTGATTTATATTACCCAGGTCAATGTAGAATACTTGAAAAAGGATCCAAAGTTGATGAAATGCATAAAAGAGAAAGATGAATTAGAGGCTTAATTACAAAAGAAGACTTTGATGAGTTGAGATCTCTTTTCAACTCAAACAACTAAACAAAGTGATTTTTAGAAAAACTTTGAAAGAATTGGATAAAGAAAGTCTATGAGAGAATTTGGCAAATTAGTACAAAAATAGGAGAAGGAAAATGGAATTGCACCAAAAGACAAAAGAAAATTTCATGAAAAGACAAGAAAGAAGAAAAAGAAAAAGAAGAAACCACCAGATGGGCATATTATTAAAAGAAAGAAAGATGAGAATAAGAATAAAAGGTGGTTGTCAGTTCTAGAAATAACCAAGAAGGAAGTGATGAGGTGAATTGTAGAAGGACAATGTTCAGATTAGTAGAAAACTGATATATAGTCTTGACAGGCAGTAAGAACCAGCTGTTGACATGTTATCAAAGCCAATTGCAGAATAAGGTAATACAGAAGCAATTCTTACTATAGCAGGTTGCATATAGGTACTCAATGAGCAACCGGGTGAGTCTTCATTTGTAATTTAGGTACTGGAGAGAATAACTCTCCAGAAAATTTTAATAGTTTAAATAATTATTACAAAGCCTAATAAAGTGAAGGCAAGACTGCCGAATTAATAAAAAAAAATAATAATAAAAATAATAATAATAATAATAATAGGTCCATATCAAATAAAGATTCTATAAAAAAGATCTTGTTGATATGAATATAGAAAGTATGCAGGTCTATTTAAAATATTTATTAAAAAATTTTCTGCACTACATTGTAAGATTTGTTATTAACGTCAATATGTAACCATTTAGAGGGTCATTAATGCACATTGATATGAAAGATTTTTTGTGCGCGTTAGAAATTATTACTGTATTCTTTCCAAATTTATATATATGATTATTTACTTAAGATTAATATCTCATATTGAGATATAAATAAAGAAAAACCTTTAACTTAAAAATCACTATAGAAGTTTTTGAATTACTATAATAGTGAATTGCTATATTTTCAATAAACAATACTTACAATTAAGAGCCAATGATTTGAGATTTCATTCACTACACTTTTTTCTAAAAATGCTAGAATAATTATTTATTTGTTCAAATTAAGTTTCGCACTAAAGTTTTTATAATACAATCTGAAGGACTATCAAGAATCAAAGTACATTCTTAGATTCTATTATACCTGATTAAAATTACGATCCAATAGAATTATATCAATATGTAATAATAAGCGATTTTAATAAAACATCATTAATATTTAAAAAAAGGTACATTATTGTATCTTTATTCAAAGAAAGTCAATTCATGTTTTATTCATAATACTATAATAGAATTACATATAATAATAAGCAATTTTATTGAACAGAAATACGCATTGCGTATATAATAAGTATTCATATAATAAAAAGCATGTCACAACAAAATTAAGCGAGCAATAACTAGTTTTCTGCATTGGTTCGTATTATTCCTATCTTTTTAAATAAAACATTGATCTGATGATTGTGATTTATTGATTCTAATTATTTGATTTCAATCAGTTAAAAAATATTTAAAAAGACAAATTTATTGCGATAGAGAATTAATGAATTAATCGCATTTATCTGGCAAAAAAATATACCTAAATAAAACCATTCTTGTAACTCTCAATTGACTAACTTAACCATTAAATTTATCACACCTCTTAACAAATCCATCTGATAAATAGATATAACCATATTTACTTTATTCAAAAATTTTCAAAAACATACCTGAATCTTCTATTCTAAGTATAAACTTTTTTAATTCTTGATTCCAACCAAATATAACAAGACCACATCGCAAAGTGTTATTTTAATAGGCCAACTAAATCCACGAAATAAGTAGCTAAAAAACTGTAGAAGTAATCGAAAATATGAACAACAAAATGAATTACTTGATCACCTAATTTTAATTTTCAAAAAATTAGATGATGAAGATTTTAGTTATATTATAAAAAATATAATCGAATCTCGAAAAATAAATACTTGTATTCAAATAAAATGCAACAATATATTTATACAACTTTTAAATTTACCTGATCACCAAATTTTTAATGTATCTGAACTTCTTCAAATAATAACTTATTCTCAAGAAGAGCGTAAAGGAAAGATATTTTCTACTTATTTACAAAAAAAAGCATGTGAATTTATAAACATTGGTTTTTATAAGCACAATTATACTATTAGTGCATTAAAATTAAAAAATAATAATTTAAAATAAGAGAATTGGCGTTTAAAAAAAAGACATAAGTCTTTTCATTCACTTTCTGTAAAAGTAGCAAGAGCTAAACAATTTAAGAAAAAACCAAAATTCTAAAATTTGGGCTTCTATTCGTAAAGCAGCTAAGATTCGTCCTGCTCAATTTAAACAAGAAGTTAATAAATTATTTAGAATTAATAAAAATAAATACAATACGAAATTTGTAAAATTAGCTACTAATATTAGCACTATAGAACGAATCTCAATACGTGCAATGGTAGAATGCATCAAAGCCATTTATCAATTCTTAACTGGAGAGATGCCAAAGCATTGGGTAGCGGCATCTACTTTAGCACGATGGAATAATGAAATAGCAGCCTTATCCTTTATCCAAAACCACCCTATCGACGTGTCTAGGTTTTTTGGCTATGGCATTATGGCCAATGAAAGCACACGTAGAGAAATGAAAGTGTTAATTATTTGCCTTTCATATTGGAATTATATTAAAGAAAAGCCTGTAATTACTGTATTAAAAGTAAAAGACCTTATCCATTGTAATGCTGAAACTATTTTAACTGAAGTATTTGAAGCATGTCAACAAAAAGAAATTGCCTCCCAAAAATATCATTTTTGGCTAACAGATAATACGGCTTATATGTCTTCAAAGGCTAATGGTGCAATTGCTAAATTCAACTCATTAGCAGTATCTAGATCGTTTCGAATTTCTTGTGGATTGCATGCAACCCATATTACCTTAACAAACTTCAAAAATAAGGCATTTGAAAAGTTAGATACCGTCAAAGGATTGTCATTAAAAGAGTATCCATATAATCTACTTAATCTTGCCTTTTATCTTCATGACAGATATAATCTTTCAGATAAAGATAGTCTGTTAAATCTAAAATCCGAAATATTAAGAAAACTTTGTTTGATTTTGAAATGTGTCAATATCAACAGCCTATTCGTCAACAGTGGTTATATGAACTTAAAACTGCCAAACAATACCTTTATTGACATGAAGTTCATATTTGGTTTGCTCATTTCTTCATTGAACAACTTGAAACTGCCAAAGATATCCCGAAATTGTATTTAAATAAATGGCAAATATTTCTTAAGTGGCTTATGGATAAGCAACTTAATCTTCAAATACGATGTCTTGTTAAATTTGGTCAAGAATTTTATGAGCCCATTTATAATTTTTTGACCAGATATGATACAATTCTGCAAATTCTTCAACCGAATAATGTAGATACTCTTCCTCTGGGTAATCGTGCGCACAAAATGCCAGATAAAATAATACTATGGATTCAAAAGCTTTAGTATTGTTTAGAAAACATTCATCAATTATTTGGCGATGAATTAAATGACACCGAACGTTAGTTAAATGCTGAAGAATTTGAAAATTTTTGTGTATTATTATGTGATGGCATAGAAAGCGCATTAAATGGCTTTACTAAATAGATAGAAATCTGGATTCATTTACCTCTTTGTGTTTGCCAATTAGGTGGTGTAAATGGACCCGAATTTGCTCATGCTTTTCTAACTATATTTTTTAATAAAAGTTCTTCAAGAGTTTCAACTTTAAAAGAGATTTCTTATATTAAACTTTTAAAAGAAGACCTATTAAATAAACATTCAAATATGTTTAGATTATTAGAAGCATTAGAACAGTGTAACTTTTTTGAAGAATTTGAAAAATTTGCCAATTCTGATATATCAGAATCAGCAAAGTTTCCCCTCATATATGAGTTTATTAAATTTTATATATAGAGCATTGTAGTGCACCAGCAGCAGTTAGAAGGATTGTTTAATCGTTACAACATGAAAGTTCACCCAAATATGAATGCTCAACTACAGGAATCACAAATTCAACTTTCAGGTTTGGATAGTAAACTTCAAGAGATCTCTCAAAACATGCTGCAAAATATTCGGCAAGACACCAATAGCTCTAAAGTTACTAAACAATTAGAAAGTAATGGGATTTCTAAAGAAGAAAAGGCATATGAAATTCTTGGTAGTTTTCTTACCTGGTGATATAACAAAAAAACTACAAATCTAATAAGCTTTACTACACAAGAATAAATAGTTCTTTAGTTTTAAATTATTGAATATTAAACAAATATTAATAATATTGTACTTATAAAATCAGTAAATACCTTTTTTTAATATACTTCATTATATTCAAGATTTATTTGATCGAAGCTAGCAATCTAATTGCTCTATATTAGAATAAATTTATAAGCAGATTTAGTTAATTACTGCTACATATAAAAGTTATCGATTTGCATTCAAAATCTATCATATGACTAAAATTTATAGCAATTTTTCATATATATGTACCCATGAAAAAGAGACTAATTAATTAGAAAATCAAAATTCTGACATTGTCACTATGTAAAGACACCTTTAATTAAATATTTTGTGTTTATAGAATTAAAAAAGGATAAATATTACGGAAGGAATTAAAGACGAAAGATAGAACTTCTCTATAGTTTTTACTATTGCGTGCAGATCTTAAAAATTTTAATCATAAAAAAATTCAATCCATGATTTTTACTATGTATCTGCACTATGTTTGTAATTAGATATGCATTTGACACCCTAATAGGGTATGTGTACATTTTGTACATATGTACAATTTGCATATATGTACAATATATATATATGTACGATTTGTATATAGACACTATATACATTTTGTACATAGTGATTAATGCAAATATAGTATAATGAATATAGTCACTATGTATCTATTAGTAGCATAAAATCTATAATTAGAAAACTAGAAATTAATATAAGATAGTAAAGTTTATCTGCTATGTATACAGCAAAGGTCAAAAGCTATTTAAGACCTATCTTTTCGTTTCAATAAAAGATAACTCAGGAAGAGTTTATAAAAGTCAGTTAGTGAGTTAAGAAAAAGTCAGTAGAACTCCTTGGAGTTTGACTCATAGAGTCAAGTATTCTGACTTTAAAGATTCGCTTCAATTACCCCTCCTCTCCAATAATCAAATTCGCATAGAGTTAGTAGTCTAAACACCTGATCCGAAGTAGAGCCTCGTGATGTAATCAAAAGCTCTATTTGACCCTAATAACTCAGACCAAGTTTTTCCATGCCTCGATCGTGCCTTCCACCATTAGGGTTGATAAAGTTCAGTAGTTTAGAGTATTGTTTAGATTAGTTTTAGTAGTAGTTGATATCCGTAAGATCTATATTTCGCGACTCCGGATCATTTCTCACCTTTACAACGTATCGAAAATCATGAATTTTTCTTAACTTTTGAACAAATTTTCTCAACTACTATACAACGGAATTCGATAGAAATTTTTTTAATAAAATTATTCGAATTGACAGAACTTATTTAAAAAAAAATTTCATTAAGTAGTTGTTGAGAAATTTTCATCCAAATTTAGAGAAATTTTGAAAAAATGCTGCAGCAAAAATTTTCTAAACTTTGACCGAAATTTTCTCAACAACTACTTGTCAAAATTTGGTGAAAATTTTTTTGAGCGAATTCTAATATTTTGTAGAAATCATTCAAAAAAATCTTTATCGAATTCTATCAGAAAGTTGTTAAGAAATTTTCATTCAAAGTTAGAGAAAATTTCTGTCGCCTAAGAAAATAGCCTCGACAAAACTTTTTCTAAATTTTGAACAAAAATTTCTCAACACCTACCTGATAGAATTCGTTAAAATTTTTTAAATAAATTCTATAAAATAATAGAATTTATTTTAAAAAAAAATTCATCAGATTTTGATAGGTAGTTGCCAAGAAACTTTCGTTCAAAGTTAGGAAAAAGTTTGCCTCTTAATAGCTGTAGTAAAAATTTTATTAAACTTTGAATGAAATTTCTTGATAACTACTTGTTAAAATTTGATAAAAAATTTAAGCGAATTTACGTATTATATTAATCCATTTAAAAAAAATATTCATCGAATTCTATCAGGTAGGTGTTGAGAAATTTTCGTTCAAATTTTAGAAAAAGTTTTGTCACAGCTATTTTCTTAGAAGACGACAGAAATTTTCCCTAACTTTGAATGAAAATTTCTTAACAACTATCTGATAGAATTTGATTAACATTTTTTTAAATGAATTCTATAAAATATTAGAATTTGCTTAAAAAGTTTTATCAAATTTTGACAAGTAGTTGTTGAGAAATTTTCAAAAGTTTTGCCGCAGCATTTTTTTCGAAATTTCCCTAAATTTGGATGAAAATTTCTCAACAACTACTTAATGAAATTCGATGAAATTTTTTTAAAATAAGTTCTGTCAATTCAAATAATTTTATTGAAAAAATTTCTATCGAATTCCATTGTATAGTAGTTGAGAAAATTTGTTCAAAAGTTAAAAAAAATTTGTAATCTTCGATATGTGCAAATCATGTGATATTGTATGTGCAAATCACGTGAAACTATACGTGTCCCCAGACGATCCGTTTTTCACAACTAGGGTTTTTATTATACTAGTATAATAGAAATGGTAGTATAATACCAGGTATAATACCGTATAATACTGTATAATATAGTATTACTAATATTTTGCTTCTATATAGTTTAATATAGTTCAGAATCTTTTAGAAATTTCTAAAAATTAGCTTGTTTAAATCAGAAATCTTCGTGTCCTCAAATAAAATGATTTAATTGGTTAAATTATTTTTAATTATACATATATCCTTTGTGCATAATACTGGTATTATACGAGTATTTTACCAATTATATAATACGGTATAAAGAATCTTAAAAACCCTATTCGCAACACATACTATTCACATGATTTTGCATTTTTGATAGACCTGCGTCAAAGACAGTGATTTTTTTTTTTGTAGTAATTAAGGCTAAATTCTGTATGTGATTAAGATAAATTTTGTGATTTAATATGATAACTTTTTTAAAAAAATTCTGTGCAATCCCATAAATTCTATGCAATTCTGTGGTTGGGATGACAAAATTCTGTGATTTAATGTAATAAAAAATTTTGTACAATCCTGTAAATTATGTATTTATTATATAATTTAATGTTTATTCATATATATATATTAATTTATTTATTACGTATTAAAAATATAACCATACAACTAAACAAAAAATAAAATAATTATTTTTAAATAATGGTAATAGATAAAATTTTTTTAAATATAAAGCATATAATTTTTATAAAGAGCAATAAATTTGTAACCATGATTATTGTAACTATATCCAATAAAGCAATCAAAATTTAAGATCAGGTGTATTATGAAATCAAAATAAAACCAGTTTTTTTAAAAAAATCATTAATAACTCAAAATTTTGACTATGAAACCATCTTTTATATTTTAACAAAAAAAATTCCTTGCTAAATTTTAATATAAACTATACTCTTTTCTATTTCTAGTCTCATACTAACCTAACCTAATTGCAAAGTTTTATTTTTATAAAAAAAAATTGTTTTAATAATTATGTTACACCTGATCTTAATTGCAGTTACAGTAGCCTATTGTTACAAAACAATTAATTCTTTTTATAAAATTAAAAAAAAAATTACTTACCATTAAAATATAACATATTTAGTTGCTTTAAAGAATCAAGAAAAAGATTTTGATGATTGTTATTTAAAAGATTATTATATATAGAAAAACTGTGTTTAACACTACAACTAAAAGCTAGAAGCTATATATAGTTAAGTGTGAGTCTTGATAAATTTAGCAAAGTTGAATGCATTCCAATCCAATAATCGTAAAGATTTATTTCATTGATTAATTCATTTGTTGGTCCATAATAAATTGTTTAGTCATGTAAAAGTTCATTTGATAGATTTTTTAATTCAGTAATTGTTAAATATTGCCGAATATTTCTACGATAAATATCACCTATTTGACCTTCAATTTTGATATATAATGAATTGAATATGTGACAAGCATGGAACAAAGAACATGTAGAATGTTGTAAGATATGTGCTACATATTTGTTATATGCAACAATGAATACTGAATAAAAATTTTATAAAGATCTTATGAATTAAAATGAAGCTATACAATAAGATTATTCAACTTATCTCCAAAATTTTGTACAATAAGATTTCCTTTAATAAATAATGAAAGTTGTTTAAGATGTTCTTCAATACAGTCAGAAAATATACTGTAAATAGGTAGTGCTGATTGCACCATTTATAGTAATAGAATATCGATCAATAGATTCTGGAAATTTCTAAAGCATGATCCAAGAATGATCGTCAACCAATTAAACATAAGGCTGTTAAATATTTTAACTTCGCTTAGTATTAGTTTTTATTTTGTTGTTTTATCTTTTTAAAATTAGAGAATAACAAATATTCATAAATCCTCGCATAGATATTGCTTTATTTTTGTAAACAAACCCTTACATATTTGTAATTGAAACTATAATTCAGATTTTGCTTAAAAGGCACAAATCATAATGAATTATCAAAAGATTTGATACAATACATTATAGTGAATTTAGTTTATCTTCTCAATTCATTTATGCTATAGTAGACAATCCATTAAATAAATGATTCTTAGGACATATTAAGCATTGCATGAATCAATTTTTCAGTGATCTAAAATTTAATACCTACATTCCACAATGCAAATCTTCAGTAAAATTACTATAAGGTTTATTTCAATTAATCATAGTACTTGTATATAACCTTCATAGCTAGCTAGTTACATTTATAAAGATGCTTGAGAGCACTCTTAATATCTATATATTGTATTAACTTGATCACTAGTAGGTTATACAGTAAGACTTCTATAAGTGCACTCTCTATAAGTGCACACCCTCTCTAAATGCATGTTCAAGTGCTAGCCCAAATATATACTTGACCTTCATAAATACACTTTTTCTTATTATTCTCTATATGCACATTATAAAAGTGTGGTCCCAAGAGCATGCACTTAGAGAGGTCTATGACATAGATTAAACTAGTATGTATTATTCAGCGATAATGATCTATATTTGAAAGCTTATCTTAAAAACTAATTAGTAAGTAATATTTACAAGCAGAATTAATATAAATAAAAAGATAATAAGCAAACAA